CCTCTCTCTCTCTCTCTCTCTCTCTCTCTCTCTCTCTCTCTCTCTCTCACACACACACACACACACACACATTATTGAAGCATTCAGGACTTCACTGGCAATGTGCATAGGGAGAGGGGCTGACCTTCTCTAGTCCAACACAATTAATAGCTTTCTGCACCTTTTTGCTGGGTGCTGAACCTGAACAACAGCGTGTCTATCTATCTCCACTGGCGGCGAGTGCGGTGCCTGTGTTCCAAGTTCTCAATTTTTCTCAATTTCTCATTCCCAATTTTTCCTTTTACAGGCCGCGCGGCTCAGCCTGACCTTTCCTTTTGTCCTCTTTTGTTTTTTTGTTTTTAACAGGAAAGGGTTTGCATGACGCCTTCGTGTTCTTCCGCCTACCTACCCAAACTCCGATAAACAACTTTGAAGTTTTCCATTTCCAGAAAGCAATTATTGAACACGAGTTGGTCGGCCTGTCAGCGCAAACCGCCCGCCCCTGTGACCACCACAAACCCACTGCCCATGCAAATGCTCATCCAACGCACCTGGGCGCAGTGGCCTGTGGCCGAAAGGTACATGCACACGTAACCGCCGATAAAGAGATTACGAGTTCGAATCCTGAAGGAATGCACTACAGTTAGCGGTTATTCCCCCTTTTGCTTGTTCCTTCATTGAGGTTATTCAATGCATCATCACACACAACTTGACAGTACCTGGAAGAGGTTAAGCTGCGAGCCAGACAGGTGGGTTTTTCTTTGTTTTTCCTGAATATTTTTAATGCATCATCACACACAACTTACAGTCAGTGGAAGGGGGCAAATAGTAAATACTAAATTGCATGCCAGCCTGGTGTCCCTTTTCGATGATAATTGCCGGGGCATCATTCAGCGTGTTCCTTTTGCCTTACATCAGCACATCTTCAGTCCGGCATTGAGACTCCATCTCAGGACCCAGCCTCACTGGTGCTATGTTCATGCCAATAAAGCATGAACCTGGTCTCCAAACTCGCCCAAGTTCATCCCTAACTTCACACAAGCATAGCACTACTGGGACCGGGTCATTCCGAGTTGTGTATACAATTACACTCAAGGGCATATAGAATGAGAATTTATGATCCCTAGGTTGGTTCCCTACCAACTGGCGTAGCTCAGCAGTTGGTACACCCCCCCTGGACTGAACTGTTGAAATACAGACCTCAGTTTAAACTCTGCTAGATGCAGACGGGTAAAATACTAAGACTCCAAATTACCTACGGCCGCAGTTCGGCGATGGTATCTCCAGGCCATCTATCTTATTGAAAAGGAAACAAAAAAAGGGAGAATTCAACATCCCTCCACAGGTGTGGACAGAACGGAATACACAAGAGAGGAAATTCCTCACGAGACGCCAAAAGTACGCGCACAAGCACAAGCACAAGCACAAGCAGGAGCACAAGCACGAGACCAGAAACGATTGAGAAATCGAGAGCTGTGTAACTAGTTCGGTGGCGCTTTGTAAACAGAGGCTGAAATTCCCTCTTCGCAACGACAGGGGCATTGTGACCACACGGAAGATAGATTAATTACCGTCGTCTTTCTTTTTTCCCGTTGGTGCTCATGCATTCCATTCAACGCGGAGTGACGAAGGCTCGGGCATGAAGTCGTGAAGAGAAGCGGAAGCTAGCGCAAGTGGAACACACAAAAGCAGTCATCAGACGCATTAACCCGGCAGTACATGGCCCCAGCCTTGCTGAAAATGTTTCGTCGCCTGGTCTGAAAAAGTCGGGAAAAAGTCGGGGACGGGCGCCATTGGTAAAATAAATCGACAGCTTAGATCGACAGCCGGAGACAGGTTTTGGCCTCTGACAAGGGCCCGCGGCCGATGTGAGGCGTGTACTGGTGGTTTAAGGGCACGATCATGGACTCGGTTCAACACTCAAGCTGCAGACAAAAAAAAGAAAGAGGAATATGGATAAAACAACGTGGTGGTTTAAGGGCACGATCATGGACTCGGTTCAACACTCAAGCTGCAGACAAAAAAAAGAAAGAGGAATATGGATAAAACAACGGGGTATCATTTCTGGAAAAAAGTTAAGGTTTGTACAAAAAAGGGAGGGGATTAGGAGGGGGGGGCATGGAAAGCAGAAAGAGAGTGAGTGCAAAATAATGCAGGGCTCCCAAAAGGGTAAAACGAGCTTCTTTTCCAAAAGCGCAAATACAGCAGGTCAGCTTGAATACATAAACAGAGTCCTTGGGGGCATATGCACCAATCAATATATCTGTAAGAGAGCACAAAACCCTCGGGGCAGGGCAATCGGCTTGTGTACTTCCACCGACCAGACGGGGTACTGCGGCAGGGAGATTGGCGCGTGTCCTTTCGCCGAATCACCGCCATGGGATGCTGTAGCTCTAACAGTGCTGCCATGGCATGTGCCGAAAGTTTGAAACCCGCCAGCGCAATCGAAAAACCTCAGAAAAGGACAAGGAACAGATAAGAGAGCATTAAGCACGTACTCCAAAAGTTTACGGGGTAGCACGAGAAATGAAACCCTCTAACCCCCCCCCCTCCTCCCATATGATGAACAGAAGCCTACCAGTGTGTTTCAAAAGCCAAGCCTCCTCCGTCCGTATTCATTCCAGTATTCTCCGGAACACTGGACGGGCTTTCTTCCACCGACACAGCCCCCCAAAACCAACCACCCGCCACATGATGAGCTCCTCGCCCCGCCCGTTCCCGCCGAAGAGGCCACAGTTCTGCACGCTCAGAACGTCATCCTCCACTTGCAATTCTCATTACCCCCCTTCAAGCCCAACTCCAACATAAATGAACCCTGCACCATCTGCCCCGATCTCGTCCAGCGGCCATTCCCGAGGTTGCCTTTGCTTGCAGGAGGCCACGCCACGCCAGGCTGAGCCCATGATAAACCTTGATCGACCGCTGTCCAAACCAGCCCGACCTTCTTCATGCGCACCAATTCTCCGTCTTGTTCTACCCATTTTTCCACCCCGAGGAATCGTACCCAGATTCCAGGCCAGGCCAGGCCAGGCCTGGCCACGGATAGTCCATGCCTTCACAGCTTGTCGCTCTTTCGAACACGGGCACGAATTCTCCATCGCATTGACATTTCCCAAAGGAAACGCTAATAAGGTCGAATGCACCGACCGACCAACTGCACTATCAAGGACCACCATCCAAGCACACAGGGTCACGATGCCCTGCTGCGGTCACAGCACATCAAACCTACTCCGAAAAACAAAAAAACAAGTAAGAGTCGACAACGCGCCATGCGTTTCCTCTTTTGAAATTGTCATCTCTGCTTCTCGCCACCATTGCCTCCCACTGTTATGACCATCATTGTCCAGCCCTCTGCTCAAGGGAAATCGATGCAACTTGGGATGAAATAGCTGTGACCGAAGAGGAGAAGAGCAGCAGCCAGTGCCACGTTCCTGTGCATTGCATTGCTGGAAACCGCTTCCCATCCAATTGACAACGGCCTGACTTGCGAAAGACAACTTTGGGAGGCACGCCCCAGAGCAGCTGGTCACGCTCATCTTCGAAGAACAGACCCCTTTCTGGAGGGGGGGGGGTG